TACACACGGTAGCCCATGGCAACCCACTGCCACAGGGGCTGCAGCCTACGCCGTCGCCGGCGACTCATGGCAGCCCAGCTCCAGGTTGAACTGCTGTCCAGCATCTTAGCTGTAGAGGGCAGTGTAACTGGCCCTCATATGTGGGATCCGAACCGTGGCCCTCTGGTGTCCCAAGCCAGTTCTTAACCATCGCGCCACTCGGCCGGCCCCAAGACAGATTCTTTTTAAAGTCCTGCCCTGTGGAGTTTAAAAGCTGGCCTTAGACTAAAATGTTAACTCCTTGCATGTCATACAAAGCCATCTTCTGTGATTGTCACCCCTTCTAGATGACCACCTCTGTTACCTCCTCCTGCAGTACTTACTCTGAGTGTTCCTGACATACTCTTATCACTGCATATTCTCATTCTTCTAGGGAATCCCCCTACCTAGAATGTACCCTACCTCTTCCAGTACCTGTTGAATTTCCTTTCATCATTCAAATCTCAGACTTCACCTTTTCTGTAAAGCCCCCTTTACTCTTCACTTCTTCCTTTTGCTCACGTTACATCTAGTGCTAAGTTCCATTTTAGCATTTTCACTGTGATCGTATTTTAACAATGATAACTTTAAGATTAGGAACTGTGTCTATTTTATCTTCAAATCCTAGAACCTAGGAAAATGCCTGGCGTATAATAATTAGATGCAGTAACCATGAGTTGAGAAATTACTATGTGTTAAGACTTTGCTCAGAGGTAACATACATTATCCCACTTAATTCTCAGCAACAATAGAGGTAGCTGTTATAATATCCCAATTTTCCAGGCAAGGAAACTAAGGCAAAAAGAGATCAGGTAATTTGCCCAGAGTCTCACAGGTAGGTAAGTGGTGGACTCAGGTTTCAGATCTCTGACCCTATGACCTCAAAGTGCACACCCTTAACCTCCAAGTTCTCCTACATTAGGAAAAACATAATTGTTGAAAAATTCTGATATGTCATATCTGATAGTATTTTGGGAGTTTTGTATGTTTGGAATACATGTATCTAAAGTAGAATTTTCCTGATTAGCACTTAGCATAGTGTGATTAGTATGGTACTTTAAGACCATTCCTTCCCATGTGTTAAACCAGATAAGGAAATGTGGGAGCTCTGTACTTCTGCCTCTGTTCAGGAAAAAGAAAATTAACACTTTCATTTTGTACATTTGTATTTTGTGTGTGTGTAAGTGTTAACACACATATGTATATGAGAGGCAGGCAAACTGTTGAAATATAAAAAAATAAAAAAGTTCTTGCTCCTTAGAAACATAGAGGACATCTAAGATAAGCCCTAACATAAATGAAATAATTAAAGAACAATTAATTGTTAAAGTGTTTTACAAGGGAGAAATCAGTATAAGGGAGAAAGAAGTAGAGGCTTTTAGGGAGTGGGTGGGATTTAAGGATATTCAGTGGAATTTGAATTAGTAAGGCAGAAGGAAAAAAAATCTCTCATTTTAAATCTACAAGAAAATAAGGTAGTCACTTTAATTATTAAGTATAGTTACATCGCCTGATAATTTTCCTATGAAAAATCATCTTGAGCCTTAGAAACAAGTGATAGAACTTGATGCCTTTCTGTGCCAAGTACGTTAACTGTAATATTAATTGGTATTTGCTCCATTAGAATACAGTTTTTGTCTTGAAAATGCCATTATGGATTTCATGATAATTATCATCTTTGGTTGAACATTCAAGTGAAAAGTTTATCATGGCAATCTTAATTTGACCAAAAATGCAAAGAGATCTTACTACTTATATTTACTCGTTTCCTCTTGAAACAGCAAACTCATTATTACATTGGGTAAGAAACAAAAAAGAAAGACCGAATCTTCAGATGACATATCTGATGTGGAGCAGATGGCACAGCATACTTGCAAAGAGGAAGACTCTCAAGTGAGTATTAACATTTTTTTCTGAGAGCTGAAGCATTGGTAGAATTATTTAGATAGCATAATATTGCTTTATGGATATTTATACTGTAGTTTAATAATCAAAACACATTTTATTGCATAGTAGAACTTATATGACAACATTACTGCAATATACTCCTAGCAGGATTATTACAGAATGTTAGACCTGGGAGGAAACTTACATATCCTCTCAAACTCCTTATTTGTCAAATAATGAAACAAAAGCCCAGAGAGGTTAAGTAACAATCCAAAGTCCTTCCTGGCTTTTGGTGCGGAGAAAGAACTATCTAGTGATTCCTGTACTTAGAGAATGCTTTTGAGTGAACTTAACGATGGACATGCTGATTTTTTAAATCACCTACAAATGAAAAAGCAAATGGATTGAATCATTCCTAGGGATAATTCCTTTGGTCTGCTTCTGTCAAAGAAAAAGATAACCACTTATATTAAAAATCCCCTAATGTAAACAAAAATACTGTGCAGTTTTCCTTTTTTTTTTTTAATAAATGACTATACAAAATAACCTTGTGAAGTTAAAAAAATATATATATATATATATAGTGAAGGTCATAATAATTCAGGCCACCCTCTGCTCTCTAATAATTAAAGTACAACTATAGGCCGTAGGGGTGGTGGCAGTTGTTGAATTATGGGGCCAGAAAGCCCCTGAATGGCCTTTCTTCTTCCTTATGCAGCTTCTTATCCAATGGGAGAGTAGTGGCTCAAGGCTCCTGGGCTGCTGCAAGCGTTGAGGTAAGGGCAGTGACCGAAGCTCCTAATATTACATGGCCTGGCGTTTTCTTTATATGTTATCCGTAACTTAGGGAAACTTATGATTAACTTAATCAACATGAAAACATTTAGTTTAATTTTTACTAGAATAATGCTGGCCATTTTTCCATTATATAATCACCAAACAATGAAATGGTAGTATAGGTTAACCTATATTTCTTATATACCTTTCACTATAGTATTAGTTCGCATTGATAGGTTTTACTCTAACACAAAAAAAGAAATGGGGAAGGAATCTATATTATTGGTATATTTTAATGTATCATTATATAAATGATGGAGAGGTCCACATAGCTTTCAACCACAATTGATTGTCAAGATTTGAAGGCTTGAAAAGTAATTTAAGGTTTGGAGTCAGATAGAAGTCTAAAAATGTGAATATGATATTTAATTTTTCACCTTTTAATAGAGAATACTTCAATAGTCTGACTATATTTAAAATATTAAATTATTTTAAAGCCTCTGCAGCAGATTATATTAAGATTATTATAGGAAACAAGTAATATGATATCATAATGAAGTATTAGTATTTAAAAGCATGTTTCTGACCTCTTATGTGGTAAAGCCTTTAAGACATAAGAAAAAAGCTAGAAAGAAGAAATTTGAAGTAAGAACTTGCCACTTTTAAATTGTGCTTTGAAAAACATCATGGAGGAGAAAGCCAGAAAATTCAAATTAGCCAAAAAAGCGACATCAAGTTAGTTTTTATAAAGTAGTAGAGCTATTGTATGACAGAGAAAGATAATTGATGAGAGTGACACCTTGTTTGGATATGCCTGATATGTAACTATATAATCTAGTGGAATATAATTTATGATGAAATTGGCTATATTCAAATCTTTTAGATGAATAAAATCTTCATAGGATTAGAGAGCAGTTTATAGTCAGTGGCCCTCGTTGTATCTTGTAAAGACTCGCCTGCATGTGTGCTTTTGTGAGTTCAAAGGATTCTTTCAGCCACTCATTTACTATTTACTAAAGACTAAGTGAGGCATTTCAAACTAGCAATAGGTGCATAAGTGACTAGAAAGGAAACGTTAATGCATAACAGAACGTTCTAAAAGTATATACTGAATTATTCTCAAACTTCATTATTTAGAATATTTGTGCCTAGTGAGACATAACATTGTTGATACATGCTATTGTTACAATAATAAATGTCACTGTTGGTTATTAATTTAAACTAGCCTTAAGCATTAAGAAGCACTGTATGATGCCCATAATAGAAATCTAAACATTTTTTTAGCCTACTGCTAAATTAGAGAGCCTTAGAATTTCTTCCAGGGAAAAAGAAATATTCATACCTTTCACAGCAGGATGCGGGAAAATTGGGTTCCTGTAAGTCTTTTTATTATAATTTTTACATGCCACTTTCCTGTTTCTGATATTAACAAAAGTGGTACCTTCTTTGAGTTTTGAAATGTAAATGTCTTCTTGGCCAGGAGATGGTGACTCATCCTGAATGAGGCATGGAGTTGTCTACTGCATTTGGCTGAGCTTATTCACCATATTAGTTCCTTTCATTGGTCTCCATAGAAAGAGGCAGAGGCACATTAAAGGCCACTGCAACCTTTCTGGATGCAAATAACAAGTTTGTCCGCACACCGCTTCTGAGCCAGCCATTTTTGTCATGGCTGTGGAAGTATGAAAGACCAACCAAATTGAAGACATTGTCTACTTGCTGATTGCATTTTGGGGAGTTGTCATGGGAGTTACTGAATATACAAAAGAAAAAAAAAGGGGTAGATTTACCAAATCTTGAGCAGTAGAATAGTTGGCTGAAATGCTTCCACACATGAGGTTTTAGAGAATTGAAAAAAAGCAAACCTAAGTCCTTTGGGGTTTTCAAACCAATGTGAGAGTTTGTTTTTATAGTGGGAACATCAAATATTAGGTATTTAGGTAAGTAAAGCCATGTATAGTGATACCTGATTTAAAATTACTTAGATTATTTAAAAATTATGTTACTAGTACTCTTTTAAAGGCTTATTTCTATTTTTATGATAGTGATATTCTTTATTTTCAAGGAAAGGTAGTAAAGTTAGTAAAACACTGGCTCCTCCTTCATTCACATTTAATTATTTTGTAGATTTTGTACTTTATTATTTTTGTGTATTTAAAAAAACATTTTATATTTTGTTTTATTCTTTTTTAAATGCAAATTCATGGGTTTTGTGGCAAGTATTATTTAATTTCTTTTAGTTTTATGCCCCTGATTAATTATTTAACCAGTATTCATTCATCCGATATACTTTTTAGATTTGGGGCAAAAACTGTGTAAATTTTAATAGTTTAAAATACGCATTTGTGTTGCCCAAGATGTGTGAAATAGTTAAACATATACGTTTTTACTCTTCTGAATAGTAGCTTCTAAAGAAAAGTAATAAAGCAATTACTAATTACTAATAAACTATATTTTGCCCAAGCTGTGAAATAATTAAATAAGATTTTTTTATTCTTAACAATTTCTGAAGAAAGGTAGTAAAGGTACTACTAATCTTTGTTATTTGAAACTTAAGGAAGTAATCTAAAGATTGTAAACCTGTGGCAAAGGGGAAATCATAAATCTTCCTTTAATTAAAAGGAAAAATGAGAAAAGATGAATGTTGCATACAGTTTTGAAAATTTAATGTACTAAACTGCAATGCTGGAGTTAATTATTTTAAAAATCTTTCCTTTAAGTCCTATAATTATGGTTCATTACAGAAAAGAAGATCAAATCGACAAATTAAAAGGAAAAAATATGCAGAAGATGGAGAGGGGAAGCAATCTGAAGAAGAGGTTAAAGGCTCTTTGAAAATAAAAAAGAATTCAGCTCCTTTACCTGGTGAACAGCCTTTACAATTATTTGTGGTAAGGCAGCTTTGGGATTATGACAACAAAACATTTTAAACCAACATAAATTCTTTAAAATGCTTTCATTATATTTCCTCCTAAAACCTCTTGCAACTTTTCCTCTTGGATTCTTTTTTGTAGGTAATAGAACCTTTAATCATTCAAATCAGAAAGCCAGGGATTCATCCACTCTCAAATATGTATTCCAGAAACTCCTCCAAACTCTGTCCTTTCTGCAGAGTATTTCTAAGTAATAAGCCTGATGATAGTACTGTTCTACTGAAAACTCTGGTAGTTCCCCAAGTCTTAAAAAGTAACGATGTCTTCTTAACACAGCATATGAAGTGTTTTGTATGGATTCTCTGGCTATATCTCCTGCCACTACTCTACAAGCATTCAGTCCACTGGCTTTATGAACACAGTTTCCTGAGTGCCATGTTTTGATACCTCTTATGTCATTTACATGTGCATTTTCCTCTCTCTCTAATTCCTTAATCTCCCTTATCTGGATTGTGAACAACTTCTGTTTGCTAGTCGAGTGATTTGGCACCTTAACCTTGGGCAAATACCTTCTCTATGCCTGAGCTTTCTAATGTGTAAAATGGGTCTTTTTTTTTTTTTTTTTTTTAGCTGAGCCATCCTGCCACCTGTTGGCAGCTCAGTGGCTGCTCAGCTCGGGCCAGGACTCGAACTGCTGTTGCTCAGAGCTCAAACTGTTGAGCGAGCTCTTAACCAACTGAGCCACTCGGCTGGCCCTCGAACGTGTAAAATGGAGATGAAAACAGCACCTACCACATAGTATTGTTGCAAGGATTAAATTAGTTGGTATAAATAAAGTGCTAGGAATAATGCCTATCACATGAAAAAGCATGTGTTCACTATGATAATGATGCAGATAATGAGGACAGAAACGATTTATTTTTCCATCTTTGTATTCTTAATGTCTGACATGATACCTGGCACATGTGCTACATAATTGTTTGTTAATTTTCTTGTATTTCTAAATGTACAAAGTGGAAACTAAAGGAGTTTTCAGAATGTACCATTATTTTTTTCCCTCCCTCCTACAGGAGAATCCAAGTGAAGAAGATGCTGCAATTGTGGACAAAATATTATCTTCTAGAGTTGGAAAAAAGGAAGTAAGTGATGGTACATTATATCTTATACTTTACATTCCATGGCCTAATAATAAAAGTCATAATTATTGATTTTATTTTCTTAGATATCACCTGGAGTGATGATTGATACAGAAGAATTTTTTGTAAAATACAAAAATTAGTAAGTATTTCAGTTAGAAAAATAATAGATGTTGATTTAAGTATAAGTTAATATATCTAACTATATTAAGATAAATTGATTTTTATTTTATCTGCATGTTAGATGTTTTATTATTTCATGAACTTAAACTTTAAAAAAATAAAAAGACTGAAAACCTTTCATGTTAAAAAAAAATTTAAAAAAATATTAATTATTAGCATCAAATTGTAGGACTATAAAATATGCATTTACAAATTAGACATTATATTTGAATTGTTGGACTTTTCAGTTTTTATTCTACTTTTTCCTTATAATTTGGTGCAAGAAAACCTTTAAATAAAATTATATTGTTTTCAAAACAAATTAGCTTTCTGATCATGACAAAATTATTACAATGGAGAAATAAATGATAAACCACATCTTGTTATCCATATGATTCAGTTTACCATTCTGTTTATGGTAAATTGCAGACTTTATACTAGTCTTCTTAGACTATACGAGTTATCACAGTGGCTACTGACATTAAATGAAATGATGAACTACCTATTTGTAAAGTGGAAGATAATATTTTGTAGTGTATGCTATGATTAAAAATAAACCTAGATAAGGCAAAACATGGTTTTATATATTCTAATATGTTGCTTTTATAAAAATTTTAGCTCCTATCTTCACTGTGAGTGGGCCACGGAACAACAGCTTTTGAAAGATAAAAGGATTCAGCAGAAAATCAAACGATTCAAATTGAGACAAGCACAAAGAGCACATTTTTTTTCAGACGTAAGAAAAAAAATGAGACTATTATGTGTTGAACTCTGAATACATGTATTATTTATCAAAACTTTATTATTCATTTTACTTCTTAGGCTTTAAACTTTGATATTTGATTACAAATGCTATCTACATATAATATTTTTCTTTTCGCAGATTTAGTTTGGAAACTTCCTGAAAAAGGAACACTCATAATTCAGACTGGTAGATAAATCCTGTATTTTTAAATAGCATGTGTTTCCATACTTAGAGGTGAATGTGAGTGTGTTAGTACCTCAGAGTTTTATCAACAAAGTTAGTCAAGTGGTAGAAATGGTAATGTAGCAAATAAATGGAAAATAATATTTTTCAGTATATGAAATGTGTATTTTCAATACCAGTTTTATATGTATGAACAGAACATTGTTGGAAAAAGTCGTTTACCCTTCTCGGCTTTACTAAATAGTCTGATGGTGTTCTTTCCTTCTCTAAAATCTTTTTTTTTTAATAGACTTTTTTTTTTGAGAAGTTTTAGAGTTATCTGAATTTTGTTTTTAATTTGAAAAATGTTAGACTTTTTATTTCAAGCAATAAGTTGCAAAAATTGTACAATGAATCCTCACATATATTTAACTAGGTTCCCTAATTGTTAACAATTTACCATTTTTGCTTTATCGTTCACACTCATTCTCCCTCTGGGAGCCTTTTCCATGCACGTACATTTTTTCTAAACCATTTGAAAGTAAGTTGCAAATACTTCATTATTTATTTTCTAAAAACATTCTCTTATATAATAAATAAATTCATTTATATATAAATATAGTATAATTGACACTAATGCAGTACTATTACCTCATCTACAGACTTTAGTCATATTTCACTAATTGTTCCACTAATGTTTTTATAGCAAAAATTGTGTTTGTGCTTATTCTGTTCCAGAATCCAATCCAACATCACATATTGTATTTAGTTGTCATATCCTTTCATCAACCTTATTTTGTTTTTTATTACTTGGACATCTTTTAAAAAAGAGTTTAGGTAGTTTATTTTGTAGCATGTTCCTAAATTTGGGGTTGTGTGATGTGTCCTAAGGATTCAGGTCATGCAGAGTTTTAAAAGAATGTCACAAAAATGATGCTGTATTCTCAGTGACTCCTATCAGGAGGTACATGATGCCATTTCAGCAGCACACTGTACAAGAAGTGATGAAGTAGTGAGACTGAGTAGGGGGAACCAATTTGAGTTGTAGTTAAGTAGAGTCTGTACAAATTGATGACTTATTAGGCTATTATTATTAAAAGAGAAGAAATCTAAGATGGCATCTCCATTTCTGGCTTTTATAACTGGGAGTACGGCTTAGAGGGAATGCTGTGTTACCGTCAACTAAGGAAGAAGTATAGGTTGAAGAGTAAATGAGTGCAGTTGAGTTTGATAGCTGAAACAGAGTTTGCAATTCAGTTAGGTAAGAAAGAGTATTTGCTTCAACTGAGAGATGAGCCTGCATTGGGGTGATTGGTGGTCTTCAACTCTTGGACCTGAGGAAAGTCGCAAAAGAATGGTACAGAGGCAGCTTTTAGGAAACTTCTAAAGAACATATCTTCTAGAGTAACTTATTTGTCTGGGGTACCTTATGCTTTTGTGCTATTTGGTTGGTTTTATTTTATATAACGGTGATTCATAATATAGACATCCTAAATATCTTGAAAATTAAAATGGAAGTGTTCCATTTTTTTGAAATTTAATTGAAATTAGACTTATGTGTTTGTCCTATAATGAATAGCTAGTAAATTTTCTTTCTACTTCTTTGTCAAATATTGTTACTTTTTAATTTTAGATGGAAGAAGAACCATTTAACCCAGACTATGTTGAAGTAGACAGAGTGTTAGAAGTCTCTTTTTGTGAAGATAAAGATACTGGTGAGGTAAATATTTGGTAAAAAAAATTTTTTTAAGTAAGAGAAACCTAAAACTTTCCAATGTTAAAACTTACTTCTTTTTTTAAAGTTAATGACCTAAAACAATAGAACATGTTTTATTAGTTTTTATTGACATAGGTTAATATATTTAAACTCTTTTTAACTATTTTTCCAGATGGTAAAACAAAATAATAATTTTTTTTTACAGCCTGTTATTTACTATTTAGTAAAGTGGTGCTCATTACCATATGAAGATAGTACCTGGGAACTAAAAGAAGATGTAGATCTTGCAAAAATAGAAGAGTTTGAACAACTGCAAGCTTTAAGACCTGACACAAGACATTTGGTAAGAACATATCTTAGACAACTTGATAAAATCCTAGCATTTCTTTATTCAGTAGGTTTAATGTAATCTTTGAATTTTTAATTTAGTCTTTGGTATACAATTAATACTGTATTTTAAAATTACTACATCGTATCATATATGTATGTTAATTTATTCCTTCATCAGTGGATATTCCAGTGTTTTGCTATTATACATAGTGCCACATTGAACAGTATGCTCTTGTACAAGTTCCTATAACACAATTCAGAATTTTAATTGTTTGGTCAGAGTATATGTACATTTAAAATTGTGATGAGTATTTCTTTCCAAAGTTCCCTCCAGAAAAGTTGTGAACACTTCTACCTCATATCTGAATTTAATAACTTCCTTTTCATTTATAAAAATATCACATATATCAGTTTCAACTCTAGGTAGAGTAATTAATTCTCTATAAAAAATTCCACATTATATTGACTTTTCCTTTGTTTTCTGTAAACCAGTTATTTATCCATAACTAGATAGTTCATCTACTTCCATAGTAGCTTTAGTTTTAGAACTGTTTGTATAGAATATTGTTAAAGGCATATATAAATTAGGCACACTGATTTCTTAGAGATTACGTGCATATCTTTTCCCTGTTCAAAAAAAAAAAACTTGAGTCAGTTTTTGATTTTTCTATTACAGAAAATGTAGAATTCTAGAAAGTTATGGCAAGTTGTGATATTGCTAATAATTACATAATTTCTTACTTTCATGTCTTTAAAACAAGATTGTTCTCATGTCAATCCAGTTTAGGGAGCCAACCAACAGAAATTCACATAGAGGATTCATATTATGATTTAGTTAAATATTTTGGTCTGTCCTTTTTCAAATATGATTTGGTCATAGAAATTTCTTACTTTATTAAAAGAGAATTTATACATGAAAAGACAGGAACCTATCACTTTTGGATTAGCACCAGAATGAGGCAGGCTTCCATGAAAAATTTGAAGATGTGGTGTAAGATAAGAAAATGAATGAATTGTTCCATGGAAGAGATCATATTGTTTTTATAATAATGTTTTTTTCTTGTATTCTCCTTATTTTCTGGTCTTCTTTATTTATCTCTCAGTATTACCCGTAGCCTATTACCAAGAGAACAGCAGCTAACCAGCAAATTTTTTTTTTTTTTTTAAACTTCTCAATGCCTTTTCTTGAAGCAGGAAACAAAATGTGTGTTCACTAGTTCAGGGAGGGGTGGATCAAGGGATATTGTAAAAGGGAAAGGTTTTCTTTTTGGGGTGGACACGATGTGGTGTGTCTGTACAGTGTTGAATAATGGCGACAGTGGATATCCTTGTCTTTTCCTGATCTTAGGGAGAAAGCATTCAGTCTCAACCATTATGTAGTATGTTAACTTTGGCTTTTTCAAAGATGCACCTTATCAGGTTGAGGAAAGTACCTTCTATTCAAAATTTAAAGATAGTCTTTATTAGAAATAGATGTTGGGTTTTCAAACCTATTTTCTACATCTATTGAGAATGTCATATTTTTGTTTTTTAGTCTGTTGATCAATATCGATTAATTTTCAAATTTAAACCACCTTCTATTCCTGGGAAATACCCTACTTGGTCATGAAGTATTACCTTTCTTATATATTGCTAGATTCCATCTGCTAAAATTTTGTTGTGAATTTTTGCATCTCTGTCCATGAGGGACATTGGTCTGTAGTTTTCTTGTAATGTCTTTGTCTGATTTTCGTATTATTCATTGAATAAGTTGAGGCATATGCCTTCCTCTTCTTTTTTCTGGAACATTTATATAGAACTAATTTGGTCTTTAAATATTTGTGAAATTTCATTCTAATACCATGTAATATTCTGTTCCTGTGATTACTTTAAAAATATTGCTTATGAGATGTACAGAAGATTACAAGTCTGAAATACATCATTCATTCTTTATTTTTCCACTAAGGATCGTCCTCCCTCTAATATTTGGAAAAAAATAGATCAATCCAGGGACTATAAAAATGGCAATCAACTCAGGGAATATCAACTGGAAGGACTCAACTGGCTCTTGTTCAATTGGTACAATAGGTATGTAGTGTATCTTAACAGAAAAACATTTAGTACATGACAAAATATGTTAAATAAAATAGGTACTGCGGTTGTTATATTATTACTGTCATGGACTCTTCGTTTTTGATAGTTAGGTTACCTCAGGAAGATATGTAAATTATAATTTAGGATTTTGACTACAATTGCTTTATTTAAATATACCAATCAGAATTGAAGAAAGTTGATAGTTTATTTAATAATTAAATTTGAAATACCTTTCTTAACATCATAAAACATCTATGTTACAGAATGATTTTCAACTTATCAACCTAGTATATTTCTGTCTGTCAGTAATTGAGTCTAGTTAGTAAGGTATGAGTAATTACATCTGTGAGAGTTAAGTCTTTTATTTAATGTAAATCTTCAAAGAAGGTTATCAGCAATTCTAAGGAATGGAATACAAAATATCAGAACTTAATAATGAATTATCCCCCTTTTATTAATTACCTTGTTTTTAAGTTGTTCAAATGCTTTATGGAATTTTATCTTACTTTTTCTATTGAGAAGAAAAGATAATTGCAAAGAAGTAAAAATGGTACCATGATTGAGAAAGAAGTATATTAATGTATACAAAGCAGCAGATGAAGGCACTATTATTAGTAATAATAGTTAAATTTGATGACACTTTTATTCAAAATTTTTTTCTGTATTTTTACTTCTCACATGGTTCTTCTGAGTTGTCCCACTTAGTAATGGTGAATCATAAGACTCAGTCAGATGGAGTTAGGGAGACCTGTAATCCCATGCAATTCTTTCCCTGGCTTATATTTTGTAAATATTAATCATGATTTTCCCCAAGAGAACCTTTCAGGTAAAGTTGTTCACAAAATATTTTTTTACTTCCCTCATCAGTACCCTTTCACATTTTCTGCATTGCTTCTTTTAAACACTCACCACTTTTCTCACGCCCTTTATCAGAACCCTACCCCTGTCACTCTGTTGTGACTGCTTCTTAGAGAAGCCAAGGGCCAGCCAGTAGATGACCTCATTCAAATTCTTGCCTGCCACCCAAGCCTATAAATGTAATTCTTAACCTCTACTCCCATGTACCAGAAGTTAAAAGATCCCTCCCCAGGACCAAGACTAATGCTACCACCTCAACTCTTGACATGCATCTCATCCAGTCTTCTCAGACTCTCCCTTCATTCAGTTAGCATCCTTGACTCTTATGTCTTCAAGCCACCTCTGAAGACCAGTGCCGCCCCTTCAGCCTCTGAACAAATTTGGATTTAACCTATGTATAAAAGTAATAAAGAAAAGGATAAAATGTCTCCTTGTTCTCTTTCTCATTCTAGCTACCTTGTTTCCTCTTTGTAACTTCCTAGGCAAATTTCTAGGAAGAGTAGCCCGCACAACCTCTGAAACGCTTAATTTTCCACTCCACAGGACAGTTTTCAGCCCAATTTGCTGTCTGCTGCATTGGATCATAGTTGCCACTCCTTCCTTCTTTAAACTTTCCCCCCATTCTCACTCACAATGGCTTCCAGAATGTGACTTTCTCCCAGCTCTCCAGTACCTCTGTGACCGTTCCCTTCAACAGCCTTTGCTGATTCTTCTTCATCTGCCTACCGTTTCAGTGTTGGTTTTTCTTGCTCAAAATTCTTTTTCTTTTCCTCTTACATATTTGTTCTCCCTGGGCCATATTCTACATCCCTCTGTGCCTTCACTTACCAGTAATATTCGAATGATCTCATACTTTTATCTCCAAAAGTATGTGAACCCCACGTCTTATTTCTGTTTGCCTCCTGCTACCTTAATGTCTATCAGTGATCCTTAAAACACAACAGATACAAAATCAGTCTTATCATTTTTTGTTTTCTCCATACCAAATGTATTCTTCCTCCATATTTTGTATCTCAGTTAAAACTAACACAATTCATTTAGTCCCCCAAACTGAAATCTGGCTGTCATGTACATGCTGTGTACCTGATTGATCACTAGGTTCCAACCGTTCCAACTCATAATTAACGTTGGAATCAGTTCTCTCCTCTTAGTCCCTCCTCCTTTAGTCCAAGTGTCCACCCATTCTTTCCTCCATTATTGCACTACTTTCCCAGTTAGTGTTTCAAGTTCTAGTCACCTCACCTTCTAATATGCACAATGGCACTAGAGTAAACTCCAAAATACAAACCTAATCTAATCAGGTTTGAAAAAATTTTTCAGTGACTTCCAGTGCATATTAGAATGATGTCTAATCTTTTTAATTTATGACTCCTGCTTCCTAATATTATCCTCTCCCTTTACCCTTCTCTCAAAACCATATTAAACAACTTGTGATCTCCTAGTGGATCAGGTTCTGTACACTTCCATTCCTTTGCTGTGCTCTCTGGCCAACACTGACCTCCTGGTGGTCTTCTCATCTCTCATCTCAACCAGAGTGTGACACTTACTCCTCTGAGCTTCCATAATAGACTTAATACTGGTGAGTCTTAACTGGGCATATATCATAATCATCTATGGAGCTTATTTTAAAAATTACAAATGCTTTTATTCTATTTCATACACATTGAATCCGAATGGATAGGGGCAGGTCCTGCGTTTCTATCTGTTTATTCCAAGCCTTGTAGGCTCTTCTAATGCGCAGCCAAAGTTGAAAACCAGTGCCTAATAGCACATTGCATGACTACTTATTATTTATTTGCATGTCTGCTTCTCTAATAGACACAAGCCCCTGGAAGGCAGAGAACATGTTCTATGTCTTTTGTATCCCAACTTCTCATACTGTCGCTGAGATGTAGAAGGTATTTAATAAATGCTTCCTGAAGAAAATATTTAGTTTGCCTTGCTCTTGCCATTTCACTCTTTTAAAAAAATCAAACAGCTATTGGGTGGTATCTTTATTTTGGAGCTACAAAAATCTAGTTTTCCTTTTGCAGGATAATAATAAAATCGTAATTATAAGCCTACTCTGCACTTCAGCAACTTTTACAAATGCAAGTGTTTTAACTTGATCTTTAATTATTTTTGTATATTTATCTTTAAAAACATTGTAGTATATAGAAAAACCCAATGTATGCTTGGATAATATATTTGTTTATTTCAGACGAAACTGCATTTTAGCAGATGAAATGGGTCTTGGCAAAACCATTCAATCAATTACATTCCTCTACGAAATCCTTCTGACTGGTATAAGAGGACCTTTCCTGATTATTGCTCCACTATCTACTATTGCAAACTGGGAGAGAGAGTTTCGTACGTGGACTGATATTAATGTTGTGGTTTATCATGGGAGCCTGATTAGCAGACAGATGATACAGCAATATGAGATGTACTTCAGGGACTCACAGGTGTGTTCTTGGTCATTTTGTTTGTTGTGTGAATGGTCAGGTTTGAACAAGATAAGTAGTACATATTAATTACTTTCAAATTTAGGATAGATTTTCATTGCCTACTTAAGATCTTACTTAAGTCTCTTTATTCATCGTATTTATTTTACAATAAATTTTAGTAGCGAAAGAGAACAATGACAATAGTAGTCAAGTTCATGCTCTAGTTCAGTATAAATTTGCTGATCTATACAAATGTACAAATTTGTATCTTTAATTTTTAAACTAGAATGATTGTTTTACTAATTGTTTTTAAATGACATTAACTTTACAATTATAATGGTCTCTTTGTTCTTCCTCCAGTTTTTTTTCATCTCCATTTTTAAGAATTAAATCTCCAGTGAACACCATGAGTTTAAAAGTGCCTATTGACGTGAAGCCATAGGTTCTCTCTTGTGTTCACTGGATTTTGGTTTTAGACATTTTAAAATTTTTGGTTTGTTGTATAATATGTCCAGATGCAAGCACACCCCTGTGTCTTTTCCCCTTTGGATTGGTTATTGCAGTACTGTGGTGATTTTATGGTTTTCTTCTCCCATATATTTTAGAGGAACGTTTTAAATTTTACTTTGGCCATGTGATCATTAGGAAAAGATTTCCTATTTTTCTGCTTCATACACAGATCGTAAAATTAAGAGATGACATTATAAGAAAGAATTGCCTAGCAGAAAGTTAAGACTAGAAATCATGAAATGCCAGGTTGTAGTTTTGAGTGGTAATATGACTTTTTAAATATAAACTTTTAAGAAATAAGAAACAAAATCAATGAAAACACATTTTACACAAAATTGTACTTTTTAACTGGAAAGGGTTTATCACTTGGCACTCTGCCTGTACCTCAGTAGCACCTTAATATTTTATTTTTCTTTCACCAATTCTTCTGTTTTTATACGGACCATCATCATTTATAGCCAGGTCATGTGATGTGATATAGGTTGAAGTAAGGCAATATGCATAGCCTACTTTTGCCTCCCAATTATGAGTGATTTTGTTTCTGTAACCTCATTTTCTCTCATTTTGTGGTTGAAATAGTTACATTTCTATGAAATTAAGCATCTACAAAATCCTTTAATTATTTCTCAGTTCTATTGAAAACTATCATCTTTGTGTCTTTGGCGCCTATGACATCTTAGATTATAGTTTGATTTCCTTCCATAATGTTTTATTATTCTTAATCATACATATGTACAGTTTTAAAGCTGTATTGGTAACATAGAAATCACTTAAATATAAGTTTTTACAGAAGGTACAATTAAAATATTTTAAGATTATAACAGGTTACAATTTTAATATCTCTCATGAGTTTGGTATAAATATGATAGCCACAAAGTTGGAAGAGTCTTCATATGTTGTATTCTTAATATTATATATTAAACATTATATTTTTATGGTAAATGTTATACATTCTAGAAAAATATCTGAGGGGTTTAAAATTCCAATAATAAAGATACCTCATGAGACAAATAGATCTGTACTTGAAATATAGAAATAACTTTCATTATCTCTTTTAAGTATATTTTAATATAAATTAAATTAATATTTAACTTCCGCTTTTTTCAAGTTACTAAATAGCTTGAAATCACAGTAGTAATAAAATTGTGCTAAAATTTTCTGAATTGCCCATAGAAACGTAACAGAGATAATAACACTAATAACCACAAACATTTATTGAGCATTTACCATGTGCCAGGCATTACTCTAAACGGCTTACATATAGTATTTCACTTAATCTTTGTAATGCCAACCTTGTAAATAAGTAATGTTACTCCTAGTTACAAATGAGGAAACATCTATAAAGAAATTACAGTTTCTCCCAGAGTCACAAAGAAAATTGGGATTAATAAGCCCATTTCATTTTGAATTAAGAGCCCTTATTTTTAATGTGATATCTTTAACTGCGCACATTATACAATAGCTCAGGTTTTTAATGCTGTATAAATACTATATAGCCTTATACTTTATACCTATTTTAATAATAATCTACTGGAGCTGTTGCTCATCTTAATGCCAGCACATGCAATCAGTATGAATTAATTTAAAATAATTGAGTTAAAACCCAAATCAGAACACACAATCTTTCTTAACCCTTCTTTTCTCCTAATTCCTAATAGTTTATAGTTTTCAGTCCATTTAAACATTCTCTTCACTTGGATTCCCGGTCTTCGTATTGTCCTACAGCACCAACTGTGTCTTCTGAAGCCCCCTTTGCTGGTTCTTTCTCATCTTCTCTTTATCTAAATGTGGGGGTAACCCAGGGCTCAACCTTCAGATTCTTTTATATCTAGACTCATTTCATCAGAGATTTCACTCGCACAACTTAAGTACCATCTACACTACTGGAAACTCCCAAATCTATGTTACCAACTCTAACCTCTTTTTTAAATTCTACAGTCGTATCCAAATGCCTATTCAGCCACTTCACTTGGATGTCTAAGAGATGTCTCAGACATAGCATATCCAAAAGCAAAATCCAGAATTCCCTCACTGTAGTAAATAGCAACGCCACCTTCTAGTTGTTCAAGTTAAAAATTTTAGAGTCAAACTGGAATCCTCTATCTCAGTGCACATCTGTCCGTTAGCACATCCTGTAGCTCAGTTTCCATCAGTTTGTAGTTCAGATCCATCCAGAATTGAGCACTTCTCATGACCTTCAGTGATGATCTCTTGCTTCGATTACTATGTCAGCCTCTTACTTGGTCTCTCTAAACCCTGTCCTTGGGCCAGTACAGACTGTTTACCACAGCAGCCAAAAGGGACTCTTTTCAAATATATGACAAGTCATGACACTTTGTCTCAAAACTTCCAATAGCTCCTTGCTCCAAGTTCCAGCCAAAGTCCTTACACATACAGTCTCATTCCCTCCACACTCAACTGGGTTTCAGCCACTGGCTTTCTTGCCGTTATTTGAATACTGCCAAAGATACTTCTGCATTAGGGCCTTGCTATTTCTGACCAAAATGCTTTCTTCTCTAGATCTCTAGGGATCAGCAACATTGTTTCCTCCCTCATTTTCAGGACGGTGCTCAAATGTCACTTCTCATTAATGGCCTCTCAGCCACTGTATAAATTTGGTCTCAGTTTATTTTATTCCACAACCTTCATCACTTTCTAACTTAGTTTTTGTTTGTTTGTTTGTTTGTTTTTAATTTTTTCTGTTGTTTCTTTTTTCCTTAATGGCTCTGTACTACATTTGAACCACTGGATTGTCAGTCCCACTTGGATAATTACTTTTGTCTGTTTTGTTTACTGCTATATCTCCATCAACTAGAACAGGGTCTGGCACATAGACACTCAATAAATATTTGCTGAATAAATGACTTGAGTAGCTAATTTTGATATTAATAACTTATTATATGTGTGGATTCTTAGATGTAAGTAATAAACATTAATACTGAAATTTCATTCTCCAGATTGTGTAAATGGTCATTTGTTCATTGCCCTAAAATTATTGTTAAATCTCATAAAAATTATAAAACATTTTATCAAGGGATACTTATTTGGGTATAATTATAAATTATGTAATTATGTAATAAATTATAAATTATGTAATTATGGGCATAATTTTTAACATTCTTAAAACACAGCAATGTATTACAGTTTTAATACTAAAACTTATTTTAAGGAAGTGTCTATGCATATATAAAAATTTCAGTAGAATGACTTATAGCAGATGTCGATAGATTTATTTTTATGCTATTTGACAGGAAGTAAAAATTATGGTCAAGATATTCTAGCAAATTGTTGTATTTGATGATAAATTTCTAGGGGCGTATCATTCGAGGAGCTTACAGATTCCAAGCCATCATCACCACTTTCGAAATGATTCTTGGAGGCTGCGGAGAGCTTAATGCAATTGAATGGCGATGTGTGATTATTGATGAAGCACATAGGTTAAAAAATAAAAATTGTAAACTTCTAGAAGGTCTGAAACTCATGAATCTGGTAAGTAACATCATTACTATGATTTAATTCAGTTCTTAGCTACATAGTAAAAGATTAGATAATCAGAATTAATGGTAAAAACTTATGACTTTTTAAATTGTGGAGTATGGGTATAGCTGATTTCTATCTGTGGTGATTGAGATTGTTTTTGCTTTAATTAGTAAGAAAAAAAATCTCATTTGTTTCCTAAGTCTTAAAATTTTTTAGCTGTTTCCTCCAAAAAGCTTTAGTAATTAACATCAAGAATGAAAAAAAAGAAACCTCTGTAGAATGTACTATTAAAAAGAAAATAGCATCATCACTTTTAAGCCCATACATTCTTTAATAAAAAGTCCTTTCACCAAAGTTGTAATATTATTCAGATCATTTATGATAGAGGGATAAAGTTCCTACATGATTCTACATGCTTAGCAAGTAGTTATAATTAATAAAGAAGATTTTTAAAAGGCTCCTTCTTAGTGTGTATGCTTCTTTCATATCAAAGCGGCTTATCTTTTTGTTAATTTTGATTCAATTAAGATCACATAACTAGTACATGAGCACTTGAACAAATAACTCAAATATACAGAAGTACAAACAGAAAACATTAAAGTGCTCCCTTTTACTCCCTGCATCCATTCCCACTCCTAGTTCTATTTCTTACTCCCCTCCCCCTCCAGTGTTTACAGGTTGGTGTGTATCTTTCTAGGTGATTTACTAGCATATATGTACACATGCAGATGTGTAAATACACATACAAATACTTAGCTAAGGAATTTAGAGGTATTGTCAAGTCGAATTTTAAAAAATTTGTACTATTATCATTAAAAGTGTTCTGTTTACTTCATTCTGTTACAATTATGTGTGATTTGTAATGCAGTTCTAGGTTAGAAGCATATTGCAGTCAGCCCTCACATTGTTGGATTGTAGCCTTAATGATCTGAGAATTTGTTCTTGTGCGAAAACCAAATGATCAGCCAAATTATAAAGAATGAACACAGTTTTGTATACAAATTACCAGAGCAGGAATGGTTGACTACAAAAGAAGTAAATACCCTCTTTATTCTTAAAAAGACTATTTCCTTGAGAAAATCTAAAATGCGATTCTTAATTATTTAGAACTTTTCTTTAAAAGCACGAATAGGTAAAAGTAGCATGTGAAGTGAGGTAATTGGAGAATGATAAAGAGTTTTGAAAAAGTGATGGAGAAGAAAATTAATGAAGATTTGTGGGTGGAGATGTATTTTGAGTTGACTCTTGAAAATTTTGGTCAGAAGAATACTTGCTTTTCCAACACTGAACATTTGATAACCTACGTCAACTTTCATATAATTTTAGTACTGTGGTGTTTGACGTGAATTTTTCTTGCTTTATATAGGAACACAAGGTGCTTTTGACTGGCACCCCTCTCCAAAATACAGTTGAAGAACTATTCAGTCTTCTTCACTTTCTAGAACCCTTAAGGTTTCCTTCTGAATCAACATTTATGCAAGAATTTGGGGATCTAAAAACAGAGGAACAGGTATCCTTTTGGTCTCTGTGAATAAGCACATCAGCTCTTTTAGCATTACAATTATATGTACATTATGTGTAATTGAATGTGCATATATATTATCTCCATCATTTTTTATGCAGGTGCAGAAGCTTCAGGCCATCCTGAAACCAATGATGCTGAGACGATTAAAAGAAGATGTGGAAAAGAAGTTGGCCCCTAAGGAAGAAACCATCATTGAAGTAGAACTTACCAACATTCAAAAGAAATACTACCGGGCTATTTTGGAGAAGAACTTTTCATTTCTATCGAAAGGAGCAGGGCAGACTAATGTACCAAACTTGGTCAATACCATGATGGAGCTCAGGAAGTGCTGTAATCATCCTTACCTCATCAAAGGTACTGAAAAGGATGGCGCACAAATACTTGTTTCTTTCAACAAATGCTCATGAAGAAGCTGGGGTGGCTGTTACAAGCAGAGGCAGCGGTCCTCTAAGTCTTACTTCAGTCTGGAGTTCTGGGGCCTGCACGTGTTTCAGAGCCAGGGCCGGTATGCACTGCTTCAGGACAGGTTCCCGCATTAAAATGCCCGGTCACAGGGCCAGGAGTTGGATTCAGTCTAACTCGGACTGGAATTTCTCCTCCAGTTCAATCCTCCTCACACACAAAGATAGCAAAGCCCATGTTTGGGCCTCCATATTCACGCATTTTTTTCCTGGTTTCTTTCCAGTCTGGGAACCCCAGTTAGTGTCTCTCAATTTTTTGTGCTGTAGTGTTACTTTTAAGGTCCTGTCAGATTCTCCACTGGCATTCTCTCTGTACAATGTTTGGGTCTCTTCACTTATTTCTGGGAATACACTCTGCATCTTATTTTATCCAAGACAAGTTATTTCTTAGCCTTTTAACTAAGTCCCTTGAGATCCTGGTACTCTTTTTAAGACTAGACAGGCGGAGGGCAGGCAGAGAACCTTTGCTGCTGACCTGGACTCTGGAGGAAGTATGTGACAGTGACTTGTAACCTTACTTCCCTTTGAATTTTTCTTTTTTCCTTGTTTTGATGGCCAACAGGATGCCCATAGATATATCCAGATTAATTATGATCACCCTTCAGTGATGATCACTGTTATATCGGTATTTAAATATTAGATGTTCGTTTAAAAATAAATGTTTACTCACCTAGGTTAGGACCACATTTTTATTCATTCATTCTTTCCCTAATAGCACTCATTAAACACTTAGCAAACATAAATTTACATAAGGCACTATGCCAGGTGTCTGGGGAGACAAAAGGATGCTTAAGACATTGTTTGTATCCTCAGTGAATTACAGTCAGGTTTTGGTGGGGACTTAGCCGAAAACATAAATGATTCTACTAAGTAATTTACCTGCCATCAGAAAATTTTAATTTGTTGCAGAAACACAGAGGAGCAGTAATTCTGACTTTTGAAGAAAAAAAAAAGCAATTGGGAGTTGTCTGCATTTGTGCATTAATCTTATATTTCTTTGACAGGTGCTGAGGAGAAAATACTTGGAGAATTTAGGGATACCTATAATCCAGCTGCTTCTGATTTTCATCTTCAAGCGATGATCCAGTCTGCTGGTAAATTGGTCCTAATTGATAAATTGCTTCCCAAAATGAAAGCGGGAGGGCACAAAGTGCTCATCTTCTCTCAGATGGTGCGCTGCCTTGACATCTTGGAGGACTACCTGATCCATAAAAGGTAAGGCGTGCAGTCCGTCTACTGAAGCATACTGTAAATTATGCTACGTTTATGTCATTCAGGTGCTGGCAGCACTGTGTTGTAACCCACCTTTACTCACATCTTTCTCTTCATCTAGATAGGAATTTATTCAAATCTATGAGTACAGATAGTTTAGGATTATGTGTCAGGTGTTTTCTTAACCTACTTAAGTTGTAGTCGTAGGTGGGGCTAAAGAGACTGATTTAGAAAACTTTGCAAACTGACAGATATTTGACCTAGGAATGGGTTTATTAGTGTACATTTTACTCAATTTGTAAACTTTGTAGTAATGACATTTTAAACAGATTTGTAACATCTTGAAAATGGAAGAAAAATTGTTCAAGATCCTTTGCAGATCTATTTCATTATTATAATTAGAGCTGGAACTTGCTACATTTTCATTCTTGTCATACACTTTATAAAATTTGTTAATGATTTAATCTTTTCTGATTTGTTAATATTGAGTTTTGTTTTGGTTTTTTTTTGGTACATGATAGTCTTAAATATTGTCTAATCAGTATTTAGATAAAGAGGATATTTATCAGGATATTTTATCATAGAACAT